TTGCCCGAGAAGGTTGAAGGAGCTTTTATCCTTTTATTGTGCACGATCAATCCTGCATATGGAAGAAAACACCCTGGCAGCAATACGTTTCAGACGTCAAGGGGGCCGGACCGCCAAGTGTGGGGTTAAAGGATGACACCAATTTTCTTCGATAGAGACAACAAATATGTGATAACGGCATTTCCCGTGCGCCAATGTTTCGCTAGTGCTTATCATTATCGGATGACCAATAGTTACACAATCAAGGCTGCCATATTACCGAATTCAGCAGCCTACCCCCATGATCCTTCCCTAACGTGGCTTCTTCGACAGGGTCGTACGACGTATTCGCTTGTACGACAATAAGCATTGTTTTCGAAGCTACTAGGGCCAGACTGGCATCAAATCCTCAACCTGGATAAAGCACCATAACCGCCAAGCAAGGGGGCTGGGCAATAGTTTACCACCGGTCATTTCTTACTAACTTCCACTTTCTTAGGATTGAGCGGCGAGAGCCGAGGACGGCCGTCACCATATAAGCGGACTAGTAAGAATGCCCGAGCATGCACCTAAAACCGCACCGCAGCATGACGTCTCCACGCTAGTAAACAACAGTCTCTCCAACGGCCCATATTCAGAGATTGGTGGACATGTCACAGAAATACCTGGGGTTATCGCACCATAGACCCCCAGCAATGGCGGAGCGGTCGCATTAGTTCATATACCGGCTGTTTCCTTCCTATTGACATTTCGTAGAGTCTCCCAGCCATCACATCTTCGCCTTTTAGCTGCCTGCCACACATATAACCCCCCTAGAATTGATATAGGTATGGCGCACAGTGCAAATCTTCCAGACACCCGCCCTATCAGATATGACATCCTCATAATAGGAGCTGGGTTTTCGGGAATATTTATGTTATATCACCTTCGCAAACTAGGCTATTCATGCCGGATCTACGAAACAGGGACGGAATTAGGAGGGACATGGGCAAATCATATCTATCCAGGTGTAAGGGTCGATTCAGAAAGCTGGATTTATCAGCTGTCTATGCCGGAGGTTTGGGAGGATTGGTCTTGGAGCGAAGTTTACCCCTCCGGCCAGGAGCTGCGTCGGTATTTTGCCCATGTCGATAAAAAGCTTCATATCAAGAAAGATGTGGACTTCCAGTCCAAGGTAGTGAAGGCACAGTTCGTCCGAGAAAAGAGCTGTTGGCGCACCGAAACGGAGGATGGTCGAGTCACTGAATCCCAATTCCTCCTACCATGTACAGGACTTGCATCGAAGAGCTACACGCCTGCTTTCCCTGGGAGAGAGAGTTTCAAAGGCGAGATATATCACTCCGAATACTGGCCAAAGGAGAACGTTAATATCCAAGGCAAGAAAGTGGCAGTGATAGGCACGGGCTCAGCAGGAATTCAGATTATCCAAGAGTGGGCAAAAGAAGCAGGCACTCTGACGGTTTTTCAGAGAACACCCAACCTGGCTTTGCCCATGCGACAGCTTCAACTCCCCCAAGACCAGGAGGTCATAAGGTCCATGTATCCGCACGTCTTTCGGGACCGTGGTAAAACCTTTGCGGGATATGTAGCAACGCAAGTACCCAAACGGACATTTGACGTTTCACCCGAGGAGCGTGAGGCTTTTTATGAATATGCATGGAAAAAGGGCGGTTTTCATTTCCTGATTGGAACATATATCGATAATTTGACCGACCTGCAAGCAAACCGTGCCTTGTACGACTTCTGGGCTCAAAAGACGCGTTCGAGAATCCTCGACCCCAGAAAGCGGGACCTCCTGGCACCGTTGGATCCACCACATCCCATTGGAGCGAAACGAACGGCACTGGAACTGAATTACTTCGAAGTGTTCAACCAGCCGAACGTCCACTTAGTCAATGTGCGCGAGGAGAAAATTGTTGAATTCCGGCCCCACGGTATTGTCACAAGCAGTGGAGCCTACCATGAGCTTGACGCGGTCGCATTGGCAACTGGGTTTGATGGTTTGACAGGAAGCTTGACCAACTTAGGTCTTCGAAACACGGAGGGCATATCTCTGAAGGAAGAATGGAAGGATGGCGCAAAAACATACCTGGGTCTGACGCTTAGCGGATACCCCAATCTGTTCTACATGTGCGGAGTGCATGGACCGAGCGCACTTAGCAATGTACCCTCGACAATTGAAGTACAGGGCCAGATTATCATCGATACAATCCAGAGAATGCGGGCCAATCGACTGGCCTCTATCGAGGCTACATCAGAGGCAGCAGACTCATGGACAAAATGGGCGGATGAAATCGCTAACGCGACACTGTTTACTCGGGCGGACTCTTGGTATATGGGCGCCAATATACCGGGGAAGAAGCGGCAGATGCTTAATTTCTGTGGTGGAATACCAGCATACAAACAGGCTTGTACAGAGGCTCTGGAGAATTGGAAGGGGTTCAAGACTGTACAGATGGCGAATCTCTGAGGAAATTTGGGAAGACTTCATGCGGACTTCTTGGCAAGTGAACGTGAGATCAACCGTCCTCCACGAGTCAGCCCAGGCTGTCAACCCTTCTCCAAACGCAATGAAAGTACGAGCGGCAGAGTTTGGTCTCCCCAGAAATTACAGAGAATCTAGCCCTGCTTTATTTGGGAGATGGGTAAACTCTCCCGACTAACTTTCTATTGGGGGATCAGCAATAAGATGGTACTAACCAAAGACATATATTGAAGACCAATAATTTGACCCTGTTAATCATCGATCGAATGGATCTGCGGGGAAAAGCATGGGTTCCTCTGGTGTGTCTTGCGGGATGATCAACCGAAACATCATGGCTATAGTACGGGTAGGCGGCAGCAAATATGACACTTTTAGGACCTAGGCTGAAAGGAACTAAGCTATAGTGGCAAGAAAATGGAAATCATAGGCCAGGGAAGCTATTTCCTCGGAGGTTGGATTGATGAGACATTTCCGGAATCAAATGGACTAGGAACAATGCATCGATTCATATGCGGCTGACTCGCACGATTTTCCATTAACTAATTAGTGTGATAGACTGCCAGTCAGCTACCCAAGAGCTCCACTAGACCGAGAGCTGAATTTGTTTGCTTTTGTTATTTTATTTTGTTTTTTTCCTTTCATTTTCTAAATTTTTTTTTTTTTCTTTTTTTCTTTTTTTTCTTGATTGAATATCACTTCTTCCCATCCCAGCCCATTGCTCCAATTGTAACAATGGCCTTGTCGGGGCGTGGCCTGAGGTTTCTGCAGGCCTCCCATGCCCGACCACGTGTACTTCCAGAAGCATCATCTCCTCTTTCCTTTCCTCTTTCGCTTTACCTCAGTAGGCCAACAATCAGAAACCTCTCTCCACACCGACCACACATATTGTATTCTAGTTCACGGCTTGCACTGCACACCAAACACACTTTTCGGTGCGCAGCCTCGGGTTTGAAGCAATAGATGGCCGTTGGTTTATAATGACCTGCAACTACTTGTACGCTATGTCCATACGGCGATCAGGCAACCCCGAAAGAGCTATTGAGTTAACTGGGCCCGCTGTCACTGACATCCTGCCTTCATTGGTAGCTTCCAGATGTGTCAGTGGATCATGTTGTTCAGCCTCATGAAGCGATATTAATCTGTTAGAAATAGACCTCATAACAGCAACCTTCGGATTTACCTGCCCGAAATTCACAGTGGGGGACATGTTAGTGGAAAAAGACATGGCCTTTTGACCCCGGTTGATGGTGGCTGACTGAAGATAAGCAGCAAAAGAAATATGGAACTAGTAGAGGTTTAAATCAACTCCTGCCGACATTAGAAATCATCAGAACCCAGCGGAAGCCGAATATATCCAGCCAAATGCGACGATCTCTTTCCCAGATGCACGAGGTCCACCTGAGCTGCTACACCCCTCTTTGGGAATACCTCCGAAATTCTCCAGCACACTCTCACATTAAGTATCCCCAGGAATCCGCCAGTCTTTCTAGCCTACACGTTTAAAAGCTAACCGCTGCACGCAGGATGGAGTGTGCAGCTTCAGCAATGCAGAATACGAATTGTCCGGTTTGCCGGAAGAACAGACTAATTTCGACCCCAAACCAAGATGAGGAAATAAACGTATGCGGAAGACAAAGGTATCTATTACACCATAGGCAACATATATCCAATAGGCATGCATTTTATAAGCGCCATCTCTTCAGATACTACACTCTATTATTCCATTAATGCGGAAACCATTTTGTTCGTCCTTCGACAATTACGACATGCACCCTGAGATGTATTAGCCCAAGGCTGCTAGCGCCTTTCATCAACGAAAAGTAAGATGGGAATCGTCCCGTCATCCGGGATTATGGGAATAACTATTGACACACTTATGCAGCCACCCTGGGTCTCAGTTGCGGTGTGCAATGACATTGCAGTACCATGACAAGCCTCCTGCACCCGTCACTTCAGCTGAAACGGAAGCTGAGTCAAGTGTTCAGGCCGCGTTCTCCGAAACTCATCACGCAGTAGCCGCTGCATTACCGATCCTGGGAATTTTACCATGACCCTAGAAAAGCTTAGTCTTATTGACTGAATATACCAGCATAAGAGATCATTGGATAGATGTAGCCTGCCTAAGAATTGATTTGCGGCAGGTATGTTGCCTGCGAGTGGTATTCTTTCAAAAAGAACCCTCACCGGTGCATAATTCACCTTCAGATCTTCAGACAATCTATTCCAAATCATCGTGATCGAACTTTCGTGACGAGGTCATTAGATTTCTGGCATGTAGATGGGCCCGGGAGCGCCGATCTCTATGGATCTGACTTCCATGGCACTGTGCTTGTGCTGACCTCGCTCGGGTTTCCGCAACAGGCAAAGCCTGTCAAGGATTGCCCTTCCATACTCATCTGCAAGATGCATATGGCGCTAATTATGTATTGGAAGCACGCTTGAACACCAGCTCAGCTACTAGCCATTCTGCCCCCGCCCCCGCCCCTTTCATTTTTAAGGATACCCTATAGCTCGGAACATAAAGCGCACTAACCGGCTCGGTATGGCTTGCCGTCTTTCAGTGTGAGCCAAGATCTACTTAGGGTTCCTGTGTCGCAGGTAGACATATATCCGTCCATCACCACCTCGTGCAAACGGCACACGTGCATTCCCCTGTTTGACTCACCATCAACCTACGCACCAGCTATGTCCAGTCCATCGCCTTCCAGTGATCAACCTCAATCTCGCAATCGTCCTGGCTCTGCATGCGCGGAATGCCGTCGCCGAAAGATGCGTTGTGACGGGAAGCATCCTCAATGCATTAATTGTTCTAACGCGGGTATAACATGTGTCTTTAACCCGCAGCCTTCCCGCCGGGGTCCCAAGAAAGGCCATCTGAAAACCTTGCAGGTGCGCATCGGTGAGTAGTATGCTCTACTCTGGAAAATATCAACAGAGACTTATGTGAATAGCGAATCTTGAGAATATACTGTTTGGACAGACACAAGATCCCGTGTCCGCAGACACATCCACAAACGGTGATGTTGCTGCGCAACCCACAGTGCATGGCTGGAATGGGGAGCCCCAGTTAAATGTACTTCTCAACGAGTTCAACGCCCCAGCGGGGGCACCAAGCGTAGGGTCAGTGCCGGTTTCGAACTTATTACATGCCGAACTGTAGGTATCATGATTCCTTTTTTCGTGCTGTTGTGCTGAGCAAGCAAGTGACCAGTTGTATTTTGATCGTGCACACGCTTTCGTTCCCATTCTCAACGCACGGCGCTACCTTTCCTGGACCCGGAACACCAACAAGTCCGTATCGAGAAGATGCTTGCAGTACGCCATGTGGACGATAACTACATCCATGTCCGTCCAGCTGGAGCATCTATGCGAGCCCCTGTACCAGTCTGTTCGGCAGCTCCTAGGCTATCTACAACTAGTAGATGGTGATTCCGAGGTTGACCAGATAGAGCATATTCAGGCTTTACTGATACTTGCTGTTTACGAATTCACTCACCAAAACTTCCGTCGCGGGTGGGTGAGCGCCGGTCAGGGCATCCGACTTGTGCAGCTGATGGACCTGCACAAGCTTGATCTTGATAAGGCGAACAATACAGGATCTCACCAAGCGAGTACATTGGAGGATCTCGTCTGTGCGGAGGAGAAGCGTCGCGTCTTCTGGGTAGCGTACATTCTGGACCGACTTATCTCCTTAAGACATGAGAGCCCGTTGACCTTTGACGAGCGAACTGTATGTCATGACAGTCGATGCTCTGATTGCCGGCGTACCTAGCTGATAGTCCGACAGATTGCAACCCGACTGCCCGCCACAGAGGAGACGTTCCAGACAGGTCAATTAAGCCAGATGACTGGTTTCCTCTCGAAAACCATTATTGAAGATAGACCCCTACTCAAAGCAGAGCTTTCGGAAATGGTCATCCTAGCCTCACTTTGTGGGAAAACGGTATTGCACCGACAGCAGGCAGTCGCGGAGCAAGCCGACAACGGCATATCCAACAGCTTCTGGGAGCGACATCGCTGGCTAGATGCTGTACTAATTAAGAAGAGTCGGACCATCTCGGCAGTCCAGCCAGTAACGCCCACTCTGCCAGCCGAACCGGTGTCTCTTACCCCCAATCTTATGATACAATCGGCTATTCTATACCACTGTATGACGCTGGAGCTACTGGCTCGCGCGACTGAGAATAGCGAGACGCTGCGGCAATGTCGACAGCGGGCACTCCTGACTGTACAGGAGATTATCCGACTGACAGAGGCAGTGTTACAGCTGAGTTATTTCGAGGTGAATTGCAAAGCTCTCTTTCTTTTCGTCAGCTGTACTGATATACGATAGATTTCCCCGTTCACACCGCTTCCCATACTTCTCTGCGCCCAAGTGCTCATGATGTATCAAGAAACAGATGCCTCGTGCATGCTGCAGCTGCAGGAAGTTTTAGGTATGGTGCAAAATTTGGCGAATAATAATTATCTTTGCCGGGAATGGGTTAATCAACACTCTGATCTGTTTGATCTCGAACCCGACTTTGTCCTTGCTGAGGCGGAGAGCCATGGTTAAGTTCGTTGATATTGTACATACATTCTCTATGGAAAGATGCTCAGCCTTATACGCTACGAGATTCGGAAGCTCGCTTGGGTTGGCCTTGTGACGTGCACTACCATGACAAAAATGGCTCACGGTGAATGAGCAGCCAATGAAGGTAGTTGAGGCGTGGGACTGCCGGATCGCGAAAGAGATCGGCTCAAAAATTGGCTTCGATGGGGGTGGTCAGGCGGCTTCATCCGCCTATAATATACCTGGTATACCCCGGATCCGCAGCGCCGGTAGATGAAGCTGTGAGATTGCCGTGTGCGGCGGGCTGATGCTTTAGCCGCGGAAACGAGACTCGGCAAGCAACCGTCTTATCAGATCAACTTTAATAAGGCTTGGTTGGATCGATCGATCCACCTTGTGCTTCTCATGGGTAGTCATGGCGTGCCAGGAGATGGAAGTAGAAATGTCTGATCGCTCCCGGTCGGCGGCTGAGCAGGAGTCATCCTTGCCGCAGAATGCGGACCGGGCTTTGAATAGCAGGAGTGAGCCTGTTCCTGAACCGGTCTATCCCCAATGGTAAGCTCACCAACCTACAAGAGGGTCAACGTTTCTGACAACCAAGGCACTATGTCGCCGTTGTGGCAGCCGGGTTCATCGTGATGATCACGACCTGCGCTTTCGTGTTCTCCTTTGGAGTCTACCAATCCCTCTATGAAGAGATGGCCCGCGAACCGAACACTCCTTTTACCGGAAGCACGACTGCGCTCATCGACCTGATCGGCACACTGGCCATTGCCTTAATGTCGATGGCCGGCCCTTTCGCCATGTCCTGGGCGAAGCTCTTCTCCCCACAAGCCGTGATCATCGCCGGCGGCTGGGTATTCGGCATCGCCTACATCCTCGCCAGTTTCAGCAAGGCTCTATGGCACTTTGCTCTGACACAGGGCTTACTCCTGGGCATTGGCACCTGCATGGCCTACGTTCCCACCATGGCGGTCGCCCCAACCTGGTTCAGCAAACGTCGCGGCCTCGCCATGGGCATCATCATCTCGGGGACCGGAGTGGGGGGCATGATCTGGCCGCCTGCCCTACGGGCCATGATCTCCCATGTGGGCTTCCGCAACGCCCTGCGCATCTCAGGCTGCATCTCACTCACTACCGTCACCGCCGCAGGCAGCATCCTGCGCTGGGAGCCCAAATTCCACGAACAAGTCAAACTGCAAACAGCCGGATCATCCTCCAGCACCTCCCGTTATCGTCCCAAATGGATCCGACTCTTCTCCGTCCCGCTCGTCAACTGGCGTGTAGCCCGCTCCAAACGCTTCACAGCCCAAGCCCTCGGCTGTTTCCTCCAGTCCGCCGGCTACTCGACGCCGCTCTTCTTCTACGCCGCATACGCCCAAGCCCTGGGCTACAGCGCCACGACAGCAGCCAACTTCATCACGCTAAGCAACGCATCAAACTTTGTCTCCCGCATCATCATCGGCTACGCAGCCGATAAACTCGGCAGGATTAATGCCCTCGCGGCCACGACGCTGCTCAGCGCCGTCGCCGTCTTCGCCTTCTGGCTGCCTTCGTCGCTGGTCTCGAGCGCCGCGGCACACGGACTCTTCATCGTCTTCACGATCCTGTACGGTGCCTTTGCTAGCGCGTATATCTCCCTCTTCCCCGCATCGCTGGTGGAGCTCTTCGGCGTGCAGCATTTCACTAGCGTCAATGGGGCGCTGTATCTGGTGCGGGGGGTCGGGGCGTTGCTTGGCACGCCGCTGACGGGGCTGTTGATTCCACGAGGCTCCGCCCTGACAGAGTCGGGGATATATGAGCGGGCTGCTATTACAGTGGGTGTGTTGTTGTTCGCTGCGACGGTGGCATGTTTCTGGGTACGAGCTGAAGTACATGGGAAGTGGCGGGTGTAGCTGCCTCAGCAGATGATAGTAATCAAATCGATGATAAATAAGTAACATTACAATCATAGAATCGAACCGAACCGAACCGAATCGAATCGAAATAAATAGAATACATTCAACCCGAAACCCATCCCCCAACCATCATATCCATATCATACCCATATCAATAAATCCATGAATCAAAAACCCCCCAAAACAGCCCCACACAAAACCATCCCCAACATCCCCAATCCAACCTTGCTAACCCCAACCTGCTTCATCGGCACAGCCGCCGACGACCCCGTCTCACTCGCCGCACTGCCCGTACTCGTCCCCGTCTTCGAAGAGGATCCAGTAGCTTTCGTGCCCGTCACGCTCGCCGTCGCCGTCGCAGTCAAGTTACCGGAGCAGAAGGGGTTCTCGACCGCCCCGTTGGACTGAATGCAAGACAGAAGCTCCTTCACGTCCTGACCTTGCGCCAGACAGTAGATTCCGCAGTCGTTGTCGTATTTGGTTGGGCTGGCGGGCGAACAGCATTTGTCCATGATGGCGCTCGCGTTGTTGGTGTTGGGGAGCGCGCATGCTGCGTCTTGCACGGGGAGGACGTACAGGTTGCCCGTGGAGGTGCATGTGCTGGCAGAGGTGGTGGCTGTGGCGGTTGTGGTGGACATTTTGTTTTTTTTCTTTTTGGCTCCTCGGAGAGGGTGTGATTAGGTTGGTTGGAAAGAGTGTGTAGAACGAGTGTCTGTTGTTTGTAGATGTGGATGTGGATAACAACGAAACGAGTGTTATTTGCGTAGGTAGGTGAGTGAGAAAGAGAAAAGGTGAAAGAAAGAAGAAAGCGAGAACAAAGGTACTACTAATAAGTAAATAAATATCTCTCACCTCCGGATTTTCCCAACAGCTACAAATCCCAAACAGGAGACCCCAAGCCACCAAGACCCTTGGCAGACCCACCTGACCCTATATTTATCAGCGGCAATACACGGCAATACCGGCCGTAGGGCCCCGTAACTGACTAGAATACGGGGCCCATCAGGCAATGCAAGGTTTCAGGTGTAGCCAATCAGAATGTACGAAACGCGGGATCGCACCCCGGGATTACCAGATCGGGGGGAAAAGTTCAATCCACGTAGGGGGATCCGAGCTGGCCATTGTCCATCGGGTGACGTGGTTCATTCAGGTTTGGTTTTTATTTTCCCTGTGGGATCGGGTTATTGGATGCTTGCATTAATTAATATGAATATTAATGCATTGATTTGTTGTTTTTTTGGGAGGAGAGTGCTCTAGTTTGATTGGGGATGTTTCAGTTGTTACTTGGTCTGTACAGTAATGTACTTTTCTTGAGTGAGGGTATTGCAGTGGCATGAATGTATCTACTCGGTAGTGTAGCCGATGATGGATTAATTTTAGTATTATGCTATGGAGCTATTCATCATCCATTCCATTCCATTCCATTCATTCCTTCCATCCATCTATCCATCCATCTCCTTCTGACATTCACGTCATATCCATGGTCAAATGCAAAGTACCCCGTACTGTGTAATGCATCTGCACTGCACTGCACTTTACACATCACATCCCCCATCGCGTACCTGCACCTCCCCATCACCCCTTAAACACTCACACTACACTGCACCATCAACCTCGCTCTTCACCCTCTCCAACACCTCCCTCGCCCACCTCTCCCTCCTCACCAACTCCCCATTACACACAACCGGCAACCCGAGCACCTCATTCGCATGACAATCCGAAAACACAGGCCCTTTCACCCCCCGTTCCCGACAAATCCGAACCGCATTCTCCAATAAATTCCTCCCCACCCCGATTCCCCGAAGATGTTGCTGCACAGTCCATGCTCGGATGACGCCGACGACTAGCTGGCAGGACCCTGTTCCTGGAGGTGAAGGAGCATAGTGCTGCTGGTACTGGTAGAGCTGTTCCCGTACCACCGCATCCCGCACATGGCCCCAGAGTTCTTCCTCAGTGTGTATGATCCGCAGGACGAGCGTGCCGATCACCCGGTCTTGGTATTTCGTTACGAGAATAATATCTCCTCTTTCCTTCTCGTCTTCTTCGTGTTTTTCTGCGTTGTGGTGATCTTTCTGCACGGGGGTACTATATCCCACTTTAGATGAAGAAAACGACGACGACGACGACGACGATGACGCAAGTCGAGATGGTGAAGGTGATTGCTCTCTTCGCCGATTCTTATACCTCGTCCCTCCCCTCCATAACCACACCCAGGTTCCCGTACGGCCTGCTTTCTCTAGGTATGGGTGTGTTGTGTGCGCCGCGGCGAGGAGATACAACATGATGCAGGCGGGCCAGGTGATGAGTAGGAGGTACGGCCAGGTATCTTCTCCGGTGGTGGTGGTGGTGGTGGTGCCGAGAGCGCGAGTGAAGAAGTAGGTTATGATGAGGGAGAAGGTAAGGCAGGAGAGCATGGCCGGGTGGGTGAGCATGGAGCGGGCGGCGAGTTGGCGTTGTTGGGCGATGCTGTCTGCTATGAGGTGCAGAGAGGCGATTTGGTCGGCTTCGGTGGTGGTGAGGGAGGTTGTTAGGGGGTTGTTTGTGCTGCTAGGCATCTTGGTCTTGTGTGCGAATTGGGTTTGGGGATGTGGGTGTTGGTATGAGAGAGGTTGTTTTGGGAGGTGGTTGGTGAGGTGAGAGAAGTATACAGGTGGGATGTGGTGAGTGAAAACATACTGACGCAGGTAATAAAATGCTATCTATGCTTTATTTTTACTGTGTTACTGGTTTGGTGTATATTGCAAACATTGATCGCATTTGATTTTAGAAGAACTAAGCTAATGCTTCGCAGTTTAATTTTACGGAAAGATTCAAATTACAAACTTTTTATCGCATACTCTTGTCCAAAATGCTACCGTGCTGGCGATTGCTTTTTCCAGCTAGCTATCATCCCCCGGAACTACCTGAACGCATCTCAATCACAGTTCCTCTACGTTCCATCCCGCTTCGGCCCCTGCTCCTGTTCAGAGGCTGTGACCCTGGGTGTGGGTGTAGGTTCCTCGCCGGACAAATACTCCAGAGTCAGACGCTTCGTCTCTGGAATAAGCAACGAGGTTAAGCACCCGCACAGCATGAACAGTGCAAATATCTGCATTACATGATTGAGCCACGGCGTATCGGACGAGTTAACGCCTCCCTTCGCTCCTCGATGCGCCAGCGGCCCGAATACACACTGCGCAATGATGGCACCGACCTTTCCAGAAGCAGCACTGATCCCATGCGAGGTTGATCGATACCGAGTAGGGAAGCACTCCCCTGGCACAATGAACGTAGTGGCGTTAGGCCCAAAGTTGAAAAAGAACTGTGCTACCACGTACAATGCCAATAATCCGTTGTTGGACCTCTTCAGTGGCTCATACGCGAACCCGATGATGATAAATATGATGGTCAATATCACAAATCCGGTAATCTGGATTGGCTTGCGGCCCAGCCGGTCGACTGTTGCAACCGTCACCCAGTATCCTGGAATGGCTCCAGCACAGATCAAGATCAAGTTGCCCACAGCGTTGCGGTAGAAGTACTCATATACAGTACTTCCACCGTTCCAGCCGATGGCTGTCAGAATGATGGAATTGTTAAGACCAAGCCCGTAAAAAGCTATAAAGTCAGCTCGTTACAGTCAAAGTGGAGTATACTTACCGACGTCAAGGAAGAACCACGAGCCTGCAGTACCAAGCAATACCTTTCCATGCTTCCAAGTGGTGAAATGCGAACGAAAGTCCGACCAACTTGATTTTGGAGTCACTAATCTGATATCGGCGCTTTGAAGCACAGCTACCCGTTTGACTTCGTCAGGATGACCTTCGTGTTTCCCCCAAATGTAAGCATCAACATCTTCATCCGCTTTTAGTAAATCTCTGGCGACATCAAAGGTGTAGCGCGGGGTTTCAGGGATGGTTAAACGATAATAAAGCGCAAGACAAGCCGAAACCGCTCCGAACCCAATGACGACCCGCCACATTTTATCCACGGCCAGCTGACAGACTCCACTGCATTTACTCACGGAGGCTGCAGACTCCAGGGAGCCTTTAAACCCTACCGTCACGATTAGCGCGACAATTGCAGCAGCAAACTGTCCAAAGCCTTGCATGGCAAAGACAGCTCCCATCATGGCCCCTCTATGCTTTGTAGTTGCGAACCTAGTCGATTAGCTGAGTTCTAATATAAGGGGTAGGCACATACTCCGAAGTAATGATTGATGACAATGGGTAGTCACCACCAATGCCGATACCCATCACTGTACGCCAGAAGACCAAAAGGCCAGTGATGGACACTGCAGGAGAATTCGAGGACAAGCACTGTGCCAATGTAGCCAATATGATGATGATCAGCTCAATCCCGTACATGCGCTTGCGACCGACAATATCTGCCAACCATCCAAAGAACAACTGGCCGACGACGGTACCAGCCGAGGTGGAGACCTTGATGGCAGTGTCCGAGCTGTATGGGATCTTGCCAGGGCGGTTGGTCGCGTGTTCCCAAAAGACAACACCAAGCATGCTTGAGCAGAGGTTGATGGCGAAGATATCGTAGGAGTCGGTGAAGAAGCCCACCCCGGCTACAACGACCGCACGAGCGTGACGCCATCCGAACGGGGCGTCGTCGATGCGTGCGAGGGCTAATCGACGACGCTCGTTGGGGTCCTCCACATGAGAAAGGTCAACGTTGTAGTTGGGAAACGCGGCCGTGTCAGGGGCAGCCATATTATCCCAAGAAGGCGTCACAAGGGGTATGTCCTGCAAGTATATGAAAGTGTCAGTGGTCTGCATAGATCATGAAGGTGGGCAGGTTGTTGGATAGTGCAAATCATGCTTATAATACTTACCTATGTCTTTCTTTGAGTTCCAGACGCTCCCTCAAGCTTCCACCTCCGTTCACTCGTCTGGATATGGCATGTTTAGGAAGGAAGTCAATAGTGTCTGAAGTGACAGCAACACTCGGACAGACCGATATGGGAGGAGATGGATGCCAGTCAGCCGGGCACGTGGGGTTTATCAACCTGCCTGGGCTGGAAGCATCCATGGATCAATTCCATCGGACGGTCTGGAGTTTCTGTAGCTCAGCTGAGGTTAACTTTAATTCAGCCCCAAGTCATCTGGAAGTCTCCAAGCTCCTGTGGGCTGACATCATAAGACATCATCTTACAGTGTTTCTGAATGGTGTTAAGCCACATTTTGTCCAAGATATCAAAGCATGTGAAAATGGCTTCCGCTTCTGACAGCACCTGATGCGAAACTTTTAGGTAGATGGTAGAATCTCAGGTTGAGATGCAACTCTAGTATCAGGACATGCGGGTCTCTTTAGCTTTAGTCATGATATGGACCGGCAGTAGTAGGATACGTGGGTTTGTTGAGAAAGACAGACAGCGAAGAAATATGGATTAACACGTGACGAACGCAAAGAATCTCCCTAATCAGACACACTACGCCGCAGACTATACTAGTTCAATCACATCGCTTCAAGCTGTTATGATTATTGCATTCTTTTCTTAGCGTTAGATTCCCCAAACTCCCAAAGGATCCGCGCCTAAAGATCCCCGAACCTGTTGCAACTTCTTCACTCGTTTGACTATAGTCCCAACACAAATAGGTCCCACCAGCGTGCAGATCGAAATTGCCCAAATAACTACCAGATATATCTCTGAGACATCGCCATTAGATCCACCGGAGAACATCCCCTGGCTCTCCGCAAGGGAAGCAATGAGATAGCCAACCTCACCTCGGGCAACCATTGCCAATCCGAGGATGAACGGTGGATAAAGCGATTTCGGCTTGGGAGGGAGGGACATGGTACTGCTTGGATTGGATGAGGTGGTTTGAGGTTCTGTTTCAGAGACAGGCTCATTGCGGTTGGGGTTTGGGGGATTTCCCTTGTGTTCATCCGAGTTTCTAGCATCTGCATTTTGATCAGACTGTTCTGTACGAACTGCAGATTGGCGTCTAGGGCGAGTATCCTTCTCCTTTGACTTCTTCTTTTTCTTGTTTTCGCCTTTACGAGAAGTACAGGAGAAGAGAGCCCAAGAGAACGGTCTCCCAAGAGTGAACAGCAAAGTTGTCGTCGAAGGAAGCGAGAAACGAACGAGCCATAGACCGGTGACCATCTTTCCAAACATCATGAGAATGGCGTAAATGATACCGCGCCATACAACGTCTCCGCGAAACATCTCAGTGATAGGTATAGCAAACCCGATGGAGGCCTGTACATGTTAGCGGTTGATAATAGCCACCGGGGATAAGACTTACGAAGAACAATGGAATCAATATCCGATTCACGGGCTCTTTATAGTACTTCTCATATACTTCTATACCGGTCGGAACTTTTTCATGTGGATTATATGAAGGTTCCTGCGGTGTGCTTGGAGTATTACTGTCTGGAAGATCCTGAGGTGTGGACTGTTCAGAAGTAGTCCGCTCAACTAGCACGCCAGATCCTGACTGCGATGTATTGCGATCAGTGTTAGCATTCGGAATATAGCTATCAGCAGCCAACCCATCAAACCAAGAAATGATCACACCCGCAAGATACGCAGCGAAGAGGCTGGAGGTCCCTGCATAGGTAGCGCCCGCAACAAGCCCCACCAGCACAGATGTCTGCGCAAGGAAAGCAAATTGCATAGATCCCATAAATTGCGGCATATTATCTCTCATAGTGAGAGCTTTTTGCAGAATCGGCTTCAGACAGAATGCGCATAGGATGAAGACACCTAATCCAAAGCCGATAGAGACAAACAAGGGTCGGACCACAGTGACGGCATTGAACGAAGAGGTACCACCGCCGAGATTTGAGATGATTTGAACCATGACAAGGCCGACAACATCATCTAACATAGCAGCACTGGTAGTGACAGTACCAAGACGTGTCGGTATTAGATTGGTGGTTGATAGTATGGTGAAGGTGGTGCCAAGACTGGTTGCGCTGAGAGAGGCGCCTGCAGCGAAGGCCTGAAGGGGACTGGCAGAGACCAGCTTCCCCAAGATGAACGATAAGCCCATGGGAACCCCGATCCCAGTGTGGGCAACACATAGCGAAATGACGAGGTTGGCTCTCATGGATTTGATTGAGGTTGATAGGCCACCTACGTAAGTGAGTCATAGATCATTCCCCTGTACCCAAAAGACTCACCTTCATACACCAGCATAATAAGCCCAATATAGCCCAGTTGCTGGATTACTCTTTCAGTCTCCGTATCCAGCCATTTTGCCCCGGGAGTCCCCCAGAGGATACCGACGAACAGTTGACCGATCAGTCCACAGTACAGTAGCTTATCGAGACAGACATTGATGAGGTTCAAGACCACCAAAAGTCCAGCCTGATTGAGAAGAGTCGAGATACTTGGCTCATGGTACGCAAAAGCTGCGTCCGACCCACTGCTAGCCATACTGACTGATCCCAGGGAATGCAAGAAGTCATGGATGTCGTTTCATTTTCGGTTGCCGCTGTTTGCAGATCGTGCAGACCCGTGATTACTAATCTACTATGCCCGATCGATTTTCTCGCAGTCAAACAAATGTTCTACACTGTACTCGTAGCTGGATATAGCTATACCACTGATGCAGAGAGAGCAGTCGGAGATAGTTACCAGATTCTGGTCATTCCTTGGCCCGCGCTGTGCGTAGTACGACTTAACTATGATGCACTCACTAACCCACCCGTCAGAGGCTGGAAGTCTCAGCTCCTGTATTGATCCACCGATGCATGGCGCTGATAATAGTTCTCCCTACCGGCTAATTGGATATAACTGGTACTAAGTATTTCATAGGTATGTGTCTGAGACCTTTGAGCACGGCTCGACAGGCAGTTTGCCCCGAAGTGCATATTGTTAGCACACGCAAAACAACCCCGAAGCCGTTGATAGCAGTATGCAAAGAAAACATCAAAAACCAGCAATTCTATGCATTAGCCAAACCTTCTGTAATTAAGTGACAGCAGCAATTGTCGATCACTCCTATCAGCCAGGAAAGCTACAATTCCAGCGATGAACCAAGCATCTGTCTAGAAACAACCTCGGCACACGGCAATGTGCATAAACGTTAATGCATAAACCCAATTCATCCTAACCACCTAAGAAATGGTTTAGAAGAGCATCACCGACGAAGAAGACAAGTAAAAATAGGATTGCGGAAGTGTTTCATCCCAGCCGCAAGATCGACACCGGCGTCGCATCCAAGTCTGGCTGGAACCCTCGGAAGAGAACCGACCACTCCGTCATACTCCGACGGAGGTTACAAATAGAAAGTGAGATAGGAACACCCGTTCATAAGTTTTGCTTCTTCTTCTTTTTCAGTCCCTCTCGCAAGTATTACTCTAGATGTCTAGTCAGTTAGTTTAGATATGGATGAATCTCCGAAGTGCAAAGACAAGCCAAATCAAGCCAAGCCCGGTCTGATTATGATTAGGGTACGGTACCTCGGAACCTCAAAATTGAGTCGAACGGTTCGACTCAAGCAGATCACCCGACCACCCACCCCCCTTCTGTCTTCCACAGTATAGACTAGGACTGTCCTCCGATCACGTTCCCGACATGAGATCGAGGGAGAAGTCGATCCTTTCCGGATAACGAACCATAAGCTCCAGTCCGCGGTATCAGATCTCAGACGCACGCACGCCCCTGACCCCTACCTGGTACCGTTCTACATACTAACTTATGCTGTGAACTGAATTCTCATGCTTTCAAGCGAGGAGGGAGAAAATGTATATAATCGTCTCTAATTCCTGCTCAGATCTTCTGTTTTTCATCCAGCATTCTCAAGCAAGCAAGCAATCCTTCCTTCATCCATCCATCCATCCATCTTTCGTTCGTTCTATTCACATTCCCTCGTTAGGGTATGTTCTTCTCTCTCTATCCTACTTCCTCAATCTTTGAGAAAATTGAACAGATACAGCTAACACTATGCTCACAGAATCTTAATCTACTCAGTCAAAATGCAGTTCACTCTCATCACCGCTTTCGCCACTGCCTTCCTGGCCTCCTTCGTGGCCGCTAACCCTGCTCCCGCCCCGGCTCCCTTCGAGATCGGTATCGGTGCCAACGCTGCCGCTAACGCCGCTGCTGAGGTCGCTGCCAACGCTGGTCTCGGTGCCGGTGCTGGTATCCACTTCAAGGCTTAAGTGGGTTCAGTGGGGTGAGTGAAATTTGCATACTTGGGGTTCTTGTATTAAGCTGATTGTTGGTGTTGTACATGGACAGGTTTCTCTGTTGACCACGATATTATTATTCAAGTACCTGCTGTGCTGGTATACTGGATGGATGGGATAAGGTTGGATTTGTTGGTATTTTTGTATTTAGTCGGTGTCGGGATAATATGATAATGTTTTGTTGATTTTTTCTGTATCTGCTGTCATCTAACTAAGGAACATTCTTCAGCTTAAAGACTCTTCTGACTGGTCACCAAAGATTATGAATGAACAGTAAATCACACATATCCAACTACATTCTAGCCCAACCCTTCCTGGTATGCCCCAACCCTACCCGCTGTTTATGCCCACATGGCCTTGAACTTCTCATTGAACTCAGCTTGAAGCATTCTGAACGCCCTCAAGACTTGCAAAAATCCCTTCTCAACATCACTCGGTAAAGTGGAGGAAGTGGGATTATTAGTGGTCTTTGCCTTTCCCTCTCTCTCGGGTACCTTATTCTCACTTTCTTCATCGTCACTCAACTCATCTTCCCAGCTGTCCGCTACCTTCGCTTTCTTTGGATTGGCGGATGCCGAAGTGAGCGGGGGCTTGGTTGTGGCTTGCATCCGGACTCGGGGTGAATTGGCCGATTTCGCGGCTGTCCCTGGCAGGGGATCGTTTGCACCATAAGCACTATCACCCAAGTCGATCTCGTGCACATCACCACTACCAGCCACATCCAACAAGTCCAGGTCAATGTTTGGGGACAGCTTGAGATAGTTCTCGAAATCAGTGACAATGGTGGCAAGGACCAGGGAAAAGTCGTTCAAGAGAAACCAGATATCACCCCTGCGGATCATATTTCCCTTCTCCAATGCCTTTACATTCCCGTGTTTGAAGTAATCATATAGATACGCATTAAGTGGAAGTTTGCCCTCTTCCGGGTAAAGTCCCACATACGGTACCACTGCCTGTTCTAGCCAGACACCGCTGCGGACCTTTCTACAAAGGTCAGATATGCTTCGCCATTTATCGCCATGGCCTGACAGTGCGGCGAATGACGATGTGACTCGGGTCGGAGGAGTAACGGGCAGTTCGTGGCTGATTCCCTCCGGAGGTTTGTCGCCACCGCATTTCATTCCTGTCAGCGGGAGAAAACAGCCTGGATCTATGATGTGCTGCTCAACAAAGGTGGTGACATAAGATGTGTAAATATCTTGAGTCTTCTCGTTATGACTGCGCAAGATACTAGCTGCCTTCTTCGGAAGACTTGGAAGAATCACAACAGATGGGGATTTCTTCTCAGAGGTTCGGAGGTTCTCAAGGGCAACTGGAGGTAGATACTTGCGACCGAATAAGTGCGACATAACAAGCATCAATGTGAGTAGAGTTTCTTTGGGTTTCTTGCCGATATTCTTGCACAGACGGTGAAAGTATCCACCGTTGAGGAGCGCATGGAATGCAAAGCTCGAATTTTCGGTGTAGTATAGATGCGATATAGTGCCCGAAAAATTGAGGGGACGACCACTAGCGTCGAGGAGCTGATTGCGACGGAGGTATTCGATCGAGAACCGCAGGTGATGGAGAACAGTATGTTTGGCCTCCGGCCCTCCCAGGTAAATCCGTGGGCATGAAAGAATCGAGTTGATGGCTTGGACGGCAAAATTAGACCGATTAGACTTCTGAAGCAGAATGAAAAGTCGTAGTACTAGAGTGGTAGACAATGGAAAATGGCCATTCAAGCTTGGAAGTTTCGAGCTGAGTAGACGGTGAATCTTGGAATCCGGAAGACACTGAAAGACCACGTTTCCTAGGAAGTCGAAGCCTCGGCGTCCAGCTCGACCAGCTGCTTGCCGAAATCCAAGCGCCGTTAAAAAGACAGAATCACCGGCGAAGACGACGGTTTTGCATGGCATATTGATACCAAGAGCCAATGTACCTGTGGCGATGACAACCCGGATGTAGCCCCTGCGGAAGAGCATCTCACAAACCTGTCGGTACTTGCGATTCATACCAGCGTGATGGACACCGATCCCACGCTTCATAGCATCAATCAACCGAGGAGAGACCTGCCGTTTCCGCAGTTCTTGAGCATGTTCCTCAAACTCAGAACGAGCCAGTTTCTTCTCATCAGCTAGGGAAAACCTCGATATTGGCTCTTCTGGGTCAAACGATGCGTGCCAACTCGATTCTGCAGACGCAGTCTCACGCATCTGTTCTGCTCTGGACATATTTTCATCTCTGTCTTCAGATCGGCTTTTCCCTTTGACAGGTTTTTTTTGTTTGGGGCGCTTTTCTTCCGACTTCTTCCACTTTTCCCACTCACTAATCTTGTTCGCCCAGCTTGTACTTGAGGACTTCCACCGGGCCTCGGACTGTTCCAGTTCATCAAGAATATGCTGACACATCCTCTCACACTCACTTCGATCATAATTAAAGAAAATAGCTGGTAGGGCGTCTTGGTCATGGAGAGAACAGATCAGGGGCAGTGTTGTACTGAGAAGTGTGTTATTCACTGCGCGGGGCTCGTCTGACTGGCCGAGTTTGCCAGACGATACCTGCACGTTGTCGTTCTTCTCTACATAGCTTCCTCGTGAGAGTTCCGATACAACAGCATCGAATGGAGAGTCTGAGATGTTCATCCAATGTTTCAGTACCAGCTTCAGCTTGGCCTCCCACTCCAAAATGTTGGCTTTGGATATGACACCTGGCAGCGCGTTTGACGGATCCAACGCCTTATCAAGCGGATAATCTGCTGTTTTGTACTTGTCCATGGCCTTCCAAAGTGTCCAACAGTCACGCGGCTCGAGCGTCAGATCGTCCGGGAATCCACGAGATCGGTTGGTCAGGCTTGTCACAGGATGTATAAAGGACATGTTTGGACAGGCATCGAGGCCGAGTGCAGCTAGATGAGTGACATTCGATAGCCCGTTAAAGATGAAAGTTGATGGAGGTCTGTATTCAAACTTTCTTAAATCCGACCATCTCGTTTTGTGCTCAATCATTTTCAGTTCATGACCATTTGCATTCTGAGTCAACCTCAGCCAGTTGCTGAATTCTTCGGGATTACCGACCGTTGCGGAAAGTGCAATGATAGGGCAAGGTGCAAGAAGGAGCAATTGCTCCCATACCACTCCATCATCTGATTGACCAATGCAGTGGATCTCATCGAAAATGATACGCTGAATGCGAGACGCCCACGTTCTCGCGTTTAACGGAGCAAGAAGCATAATCTGAAGGATGTGTGGCACTGTGATCAAGATCTGACAGCTTGTTGGGTTGTTGATGCGGTAATCACGTGTATGAATAGCCCAGACAGACTTTCCAGCGTATTTGTAGCTCTTACTGAATCTTGCTTGGACCTCGGCGGCGATCTGGTTAACGAGTGCTTTAGTCGGGGCAACGTACACCAATACCCCGTCGTCACTGCTCTCGAGGATCTGTTTCATAGCATAGAATCTATTGGACAGTCAGAACTTCGAAGCACACATTGTTATATGCTGCCATAAGGCACTTACGATATGAAAGTCTTCCCTGCACTGGTTGGAGCGACAACGAAAAGACTCGCTTTAGCGTCGATTTGGTCCAAGATCTCTCTCTGCCACCGATCAGGTTCAAAATCATGAACACGAGGGTCTGGTGCCGATTCCATATTTCGATCGAAATATGGACCCGCATGAACAAGCTGAAACTCAACTGGTGACAAGCCCGTTTGAAAGTTGGCGTGCTGTGAAGGTACTGGTGTGAATGAGGATGTAGCTATTCCTGAACTGTGACAGGGGATGTCAATGCGTGGAAGATTGAGCGCTTTGATAGTTTCTTCAACAAAGCATCGAATGCCGACCGTAATGCCTTGTTTCGCCTTTGAGATCTTAAGAATCAGGAACCATATGAGTGCCACTATCCCCATAGGCTTATTCTTCTCTGTTTCGCACTTGATTTTCCACAGCTGCGCCAGGGTCATTATGAGATAAGCGAGTATGTCTAGCTCTATCAGACAGTCTCCCTTTCTCTTTAAGCTGTGGAGATACTCGGAAGCATCTTGATATCTCTGGACCAGATTGTCGGCATGCTCGATACCATGGCGTTTGTTCTTCCATGCTTCTAACTGTCTTTCAAGGTTTTTGTCCCGCTGTTTCTGGAAGTGAAGTTCTGCCTCTGCTTTAACCGACGCAGATGCGCTGGTCTTTGGATGTCTAGTCTGTTGACCTTTCTTCGCGGATCGAGAGGTCCTGTGTCTCTCCATAGCTTCAGAAGCCGGATTATTTCTTGGCAAGACCTTGAGATCTGCCTTAGTCTTTACAAAAATTGACTCTGGTTTTGCATCTGTGAGACTGGCAGCATACTGCTCAGTTTCAGCCATGAACTTCTGATTACGGCGAAGAAGCCACTCCGGAAGAGGAAATGCATTCCGCTGATCTAGCGGTCTGCGATGATTATGCCAGTGGCTGATTTCCTGAAAAATTCGCGACACTGCAAGTTCCTTCCCAGCAGCAGATTTGTCAATGGCAAGCGATATCGGCTTGAGATGGCTGTCAAAGTCGGGGTTGTTGAAAGGGAGCACGGCAGTTGCCTTTGTCCGGCTAGATATTCGGCCACTGCCCGAACTCCTAGTTTTCTTATTGCTGCTTGCTTTGCTACCGCTAGTCTTGTTCCTCACTTGAAAGCTAGCAACTTCGACGCCACATATGCCTTTCACTAGTGAGGCAAGCAGCGAGAATCTATCCACGACTGATTGGCTGAAGGAGCATTCAAAATCAGACGGACAGATTATTTGCAATTGCATCATCTCAAGAAACAACCGCCCATCAATCAGGTCCGCCACATCACAGGTCAGGGGTCTAGCGCTCATAGCCTCATGCCACAACTGTGATGTGATGACACTCCGAAATACTTCAACATATTTTACCAGCAACAACTCACCAGGACGACAGTGTTTGGGATCATACACGCGGTTTTCAAGTTTGCACTCACTCAGAATGATTGTGTGT